CCCACCGTTTTGTTAATAGAACTCTCGAGCAGCAATGGACTACGTGAAGTTAATTCCAGAGACGTGCTACATGACGGACAACTTCAAAGACTTGGAGGTCGGGGTGCTCGTTGCTGGAGACAATACGTCGTTTGCAACTTTTGTATTGGGATTACGACTTGGCTTTCTTGCCATGCCGTCAGGAGTCACAACGGCAGAAGGAGGCGGCTGAGCAGTGCTACGCCAAACACAAGGAGATCGTCTGGGACCTGCAGCACCAGCTCGATGAGTCCAGACGAAAAATCCACGAGTGCAGGGTATGACGCACACGATTGAGTTGAGGTGCGCGAGCAACGCTTGGCCATGTTCCTACTTCTGCTAAAAATTGCATTGCTTCATTTTTAACTAAGCGGGCTATGCACTGTAAAACTCAATGTTAGCCTTTTTCCTAATTTTGTGGTCGCAAAAATGAATCCCCTCAGCAATTATCTGGTTGTTGTTTTAAGAGTTCCCCACATACCTAACAGCCTAGGCTTTTTTTTTCTTTGTCATATTTTATGTTCGGTCACATTTTAAATGATATTTAAGAACCACTGCGTATGTACCCGCTTTAGCATCAGTCATCTAACAAATCCAAGTTGACTTTGAAAGCCACTTTTGAGTCAAGCTTGGCCCTGTAGTGCCACCGTGCATCTAATTTGAAGCTTGCATGAATGGATAGTTCCACACGCTGGGTGCGATGGATGCGTCCGCAAATCGCGAACAGTGGCACAGTGGTACACTTGACAAAACGGGAACGTTAGCGCTCACTCTCTCTGCTCTTGAGATTGCCAGGAGAGCCGTCACCAAATAATTGTTGGCTTTTGAGCGCTGATGGCATTAAAAAAAAAATCCCAAATGAAACCCTTCTGCTGCATTAGGTGGCTTTTGCATTCGTGCAGAATGTCGCACACATCTGAGGTTTGTTTTGGGGAAGCCCAAGAATGGAAATCAAAGATTTCCTTTTGTGATCGAGAGCAGCAAAGGCATCAATCAGCAAAACATAACTGATGATAATGGATGAAATGCCAAAATTTGCTCAACTCAGAGTAGTTTGTGGTGTAGCCTTGGTCAGTCTCATCCCTGACGAAGTCATCCTATTTTTCAGGAAGAGAAGTTAGATGCCACTTCCAGGAGGATGAAGCTAGCTGTTCTGGCTTCCTCCATGAAAAGCCCCAACGTCTTCTTCGGTAGCCCTCTCAGATCCGATACACTGTGTGAGTTTTGTTTTTATTTTTCACACCTAAGAATGCTTATTAATGACACAAAAAAAGTTTTTATTTCATTTTAAACCACAGACATTTGCCACCAATACCCGTCATGTAGCTCTGAGAGCCTTTCAGAGATAAATTGACGCAGGCCTTTATTTAAGAGCATCGTCGCTGCGTTCCCCGTTTTATTCATGGACATTCAAGAAACGCCTTACTATACATGGTCGTTAAAAAAAAAAAAAAACAACAAAAAAACGCCTTTTTCTATTTTCTCCCAGCTCCACAGCAATGCCTGACCACATCTGACTTGGATGCCCCTGCAGTGAACATGGCCAAATTCCTCACAGATCCTTGCCAGCTCGACGGCAAGTGAACCGGTCCTGAACTGCAACAACAAAACCCTGTGAGGCACGTTGTCATCTCAGCACCAAACCTCCCGACGACCTCAAACACAACCGCCGATGGTGCTATCCCCGACGTGTGACAATTGAGACTGCAACGGAGAGCGAATGTTGATTCTGTTTCCAAATCTGAATCGAATGTACAGTATTAACTCCGTTCTTGATGCCAGTCCTTGGAGTCTATCGTCCACATGCCAATGAGCCGCAATGGTTCAGAACACAAACGGGGCTGAAGAGCTCAGCCAGTGCTTTTTGCTTTTGACGAGTCATGATGAAAGTGCTGTCTTTGTGTCTTATATATTTGTTGAAGAATCACTGAAGTCTATTTTTCATGTGCTGTGAATATATCTAAGCACTTCAAATGAATCCTGATGGGGCCCAATGTTTCTATGGAATCCCTGGTGCTGATACTTAAGTTTTTTTTTGCAAGGTGTTTACTTTTGCAGCAAGAGACTGCCGTTTCTCTGGCCCGCCAAGAGATAAGTATACATACTTTTTCTAAAAAATATTTCGTTGAATAAATTAAACAAGAGAGAAGTACCTTCTTATGGAGCCCTCTGTGTAAATAGTGCGCTATAAAATCGCTTTGGAGCTGCATGCTCCTGTTGACTTGCAACCAACTTGCTTTTTAGGAGAAAAGCAACAAAGTCAATGTATACTAAGGCGTTTTTCGCCGAAAAAACGGCCATGTTTAAGAAGGCTTTTTTTAGCCGATAGTAAGGCGTTTTTAGCCGAAAAAAACGACCGTTTATAGGAAGCGGTTTTTAGCCGAAAAAAACGACCATGTATAGTAAAGTATACCATGTCGTTTTTTTCGGGCTAAAAGCGCCTTACTATACTATGTCGTTTTTTTCGCGCTAAAAACGCCTTACGATACTATGTCGTTTTTTTCGCGCTAAAAACGCCTTACGATACTATGTCGTTTTTTTCGCGCTAAAAACGCCTTACGATACTATGTCGTTTTTTTCGCGCTAAAAACGCCTTACGATACTATGTCGTTTTTTTCGCGCCAAAAACGCCTTACTGTACTATGTCGTTTTTTTGCGCTAAAAACGCCTTACTATACTAAGTGCTTTTTTAGGGCTAAAAACGCCTTACTATACTGTGTCGTTTTTTTCGCGCTAAAAACGCCTTACGATACTATGTCGTTTTTTTCGCGCTAAAAACGCCTTACGATACTATGTCGTTTTTTTCGCGCTAAAAACGCCTTACGATACTATGTCGTTTTTTTCGCGCTAAAAACGCCTTACGATACTATGTCGTTTTTTTCGCGCTAAAAACGCCTTACGATACTATGTCGTTTTTTTCGCGCTAAAAACGCCTTACGATACTATGTCGTTTTTTTCGCGCTAAAAACGCCTTACGATACTATGTCGTTTTTTTCGCGCTAAAAACGCCTTACGATACTATGTCGTTTTTTTCGGGCCAAAAACGCCTTAGTATACGATGTCGTTTTTTTTCACGCCAAAAATGCCTTATTATACTGTCGTTTTTTTTCTGTCGAAAAAACGACATAGTATAGTACGGCGTTTTTGGCG